TTTAAATGGTTTTAGAGGATTTCAAACTACACCGAAATGTTTTTAAACTTATAAAAAATATATATAATTAGCCCCCCAAAACCATTTTAACTGTTATTTTACATAAAAAAATTTAAGCTTTTATGACGGTTAATACGTCTTGTGAACCCTCCTAGTTATTTTATGTGGGGAAAAGACCAATATTTTTCGATCGGAAAGCTCTGTTTCTATTCAGGAGACTTCCAATAATAATACCCAATTTTTTAATTTATAATTTTTTTATGCTAACGACGATTTTTTATGGGTCCCCCATTGCATTTTTTGCGGTTTGGAATTCCTCTGATTCTTATGAAGTTTTGATTTAAACACGCAAAATGTTGTATTCAAAGTTTCGCGAAATATTCGAATAAAATGGCTATAAGAAGTTTTTTCCTCTCCTGTATGTAAAATTTTAAATTTATAAAATGGGACTTAGCAACTTTTTACTCTAAAGGTACGTTTAAACGTGGCAATGCAGGTACAGGCATAAAGTCCTTTTAACAGATTTGCGGAAATTACTTTCAGAAATAAAAGTGGCAAGGTGTAACTGCAAATGAAATTACGCAAATCCTTTCGAGAAATAATTTCAACTTGCTCGTGTTAAGAGCGTGTCAGACGTGGCAATATATTTCGATGCAATAAATTTCGGAAAGGCTGTCAAATTGAGAAATCAGTTGCATGAGCAGTCACACCTTGCATGGAAAGTGTCTTTCGAAAGAGGTTTTTATTTCCGAACGGCGAATTGCAGGAAAAATTTCTGAAATCGCTTTTTGGCTGTTCACACAGCGAATGAGTTTCTGGCAATCTTTCTTGATACTAAAATGCAACCATGGGCGGTGGGGTTGTCGTTTGTTTGCTATTTCTCTTGTAAAAGCGAGAAAATATAGGTTATAATTAACATATTTGTCGTGTAAACAATAATTTAACAATTAAGTATATTAAGCAAAATAATATATTTCAAGCATTTTTGATATTTAATTCAACAATATTTTTTATCATTTTACACAAATTCACGATCAGGGCCACACGGCAACACTCGATTAGTTTGACAGCACTTGCAGAAGAAATAAAAATTGCTAGTGCAGCACGAGCAAGTTGAAATATATTTCTGAAATCGATTTTCGTTCTTGCAGTTGCAGTCCCACCTTGCAACTTTTATTTCTGAAACTGATTTCCGAAAGGTGACAGAAAGATCTTTCTGGCTGTTCACACATCGAAATAAAATTGCTCTTTCTCAATTTGACAGCGAATTGCGTGCGAAAGATGGAAATATTGCCACGTCTGACAGGCTCTTTACACTAGCAATTTTCGTTTTTGCTGCAAGTGCTGTCGAACCAACCGAGTCTTGCCGTGTGACGAAATTTTTGCCGAATTTGTATAAGATTCTAAAAATGTGACATCACATTTAATAAAATACTTGTAATTAATCTCTTCTCCTGATATGAATAATTTAAATATGCATAAGCGCATTCGACATTTTGTGTTTGTTTTGTGCGCATTTTAGCATTTTTTTTAAATTTTCAGGCCAGTAATATTGTTATGAGCATAAAAATGTCTGGTAACACAAGTGAAAGTGGAATTTTCTGCTTTCACTGGCAAAAGTAGTTTCGGAAAGTGTAATTTTCGGAAATAAAAGCTGCTTTCGGAAGTCACTTTAAATGCAAGGTGTAGCTGCTCCTCCAATCACTTTTGGAAAGTCTTGAGTTTGACCGACTTTTAAAAAGGACTTGCACTTGCCACGTCTAACAGCTACTTAAGCTAGCGATAAGTATATTCATATATTTTTTTATATGTATGTTTGTACTTTAAAGACATAATCGTATGTAATGCAACATTTTTGTTAATTCCTTATCAGTTAATGTGTAACCTTATTTTTCTGCGAGAGTTTATAATCTAGGAACAACATAAGAAGATAAGAATGATTTATATGTGTACATACAAATGTAAAAATTAAATCACTTTTAACTTACCTCGGTGTAATTATAGATTTTGTTTAAAAAATCATGAAGGATGAGATATTTGAGCGGAGTATTAATTAGATTATTCCTTTAAGTTATTATATGTACTTCCCTTTCGGAGGCAGTGACAAATATACGAAATTTTACGTTCCCCCCGTAATGTGCACTAATTTGTATGTACATACTGCGTACAACAGCCCGCAAGATTTATTTTAGTCAATGCGAGCAGCAGCAAAGGGCAAAGATTGCAAAAATACAGGCTTCAGATGATGAAAAATCTTTTTTCACAGGCACGGGAGGTTCCCAAAGGATTCACTTCTTGCATCAAAATTAAATGAACAAAAAAGTCGTATTCACATGGCAAAATTACTTCCAGTAATTTTCATCATCAGAATGCTATTGTTGTTTTGCACCAAGGATTTTTCACTAATTCACGTAAATTTATCAAAGTTTATGCGATTCACTTCTGTTGGACATTTATGTCGGCGGCATATACATACATAAATAGGTTGCACAAACTAAAATTCCGGAAAAATTTTTAGCATTTCCGATTAGGCGAGAAAACACAGACAAAAAGATTAGCAAAAGCACTTCTCTAATAATCCACTAATGCACATTTTTAGTTTTTTAATAAATTAAACAAAAACTAAAAGCTGATCAGATGAACAAAACACCGTCTGCCACTTGAAACTTAAAAAAATCGGCTATCTGACATTTTGCTTTACCACGGAAAACGAACTGAAAATCTCAATCACAAAGCAAATGAAGCAATTATGATGGCGGCCGGTGATAATCAGGGTTGCATGGAAGCGTCCACTGTCGATTTTGACAGGTGCGTAATTATTGATGGTGATCGATTGGATAAAAAGTGTAACATTACGAAGCAATTTATCTAGAGGAAATTATTTCAATTGGGGTGTTCACAGTTCGTTCCAAATAGTGTCTCAAAATGTAGACGTCTACATTTTAAGACGTTTTCTAACCGTAAAATCTGTGGTGTTGTTGTTTCCCATACAAAATTGGAAAACGACGCCGTCTACAATTTGTCACACTCAAAGGTATGTTTTTTACGCGTCTACATTTTGCAACCTCGCAGCAGGGTTGCATTATGGCAATACTAATCGCATTTTTTTTATTTATTGGGCACGTTTTCTGTATTTGCATTTAATTTGAGCGCAATTTCTGATGAAAAGAAACAAATCAATGAAAAGAAATAACAAATATTAGGAATTGGTAATAAAGTTAATTTATTACAATTTTTCAGAAACAAAATCGAAAGGCGACATATAAAAAAGCACGCAAAGAAGAAATGTCTGGCAACACCAGCAAAGTTTTGAGACGATTTTGCGACGACTGCTAGAAAGGGGTGCTCACAGTTTGATGCTAAAGATGTCTCAAAATGTAGACGTCTACATTTTCAGACACAATTTGGAACGAACTTTGAACACCCCAAATGATAAAACTTTTTAGATAAATATTTAAGAAAATTGGAATTACACCAGCACAAAATTTATATTTACTATTGCTCATAACTTTGCTATTATCCATGATCCAACTACTCTAATCTAATTGGTTCATGGGTATTATCAATTTTCTTCGGGTAGGCCTCCACACCAAGTTGTTTAGATATTGAGCTGTATTGAGCGCTTTTCAGGCTCTCAGCACTCAACTCAGCTTATCGAACTTATGACAGTTTGAAAAGCGCTGAACACCATGATCCAATTTACGCAGTCGAAAGTACTTTTCTACTCTCGGTGTGGAGGTTTTTTCCCAAAGAATCCTGATGAGAGCAAATTTTTCAGCAATAGTGAATTTTAATGGGCGGCATACTCCTTGCATCTGACTCGTGAGTCGGTTTGGATGTGTTTGTGAAAATAAATATGTGTTAGTTACACCAACATGACACCCGGCATGACTCTGAATGATTCAACTGTGTGTAGTCGAAGGCGGGTCACCACGTACACAAATGACTCGCGAGTCAGACGCACCGTGTGTGCCGCCTATTAAATAGGCAAGTCTGCCTATAGGATGGTTCCGTTCGCAGCTCACAACGTCCGCATATTTATATCCACGTATCCTCTGGGTAGCAACTAAATACCCGTTTGGGAGCGAGCCAAAGTGAGAAGGCGTAAAACTTCGCGTGCGATGGGTTTGGGTCCGGCCACGTTAAAACCCCGCCCAATGAAAACGTTCAGAAAGCCGCGGATAAGACCACCTTTTTTATGTACGTTTATATTCTTAGATTTTATTTTTATTTTTTCGTTCCCACGACAGTCGGGTCTACGTAACCGGAACGACCCAGATGTATATCTGGCCAAGGACTGTCACTCCAGCAACACTCCCCAAAATCTCTTTGGGGAATTTGTATGCTGTTACAACAACAACAACCACCTTTTTTTGATGGCGACCACGGAAAACGTATAAAGGACTAAGATTTAAGAGTATGCACCTGGACAATCCAGACCCTTGATGGGGAAGGTGCCTCTGCCCGCTGGTTGATGTCCTCGGTAAGACAAAGGCTGAAATCACCGCCATCCAAGAAATGCGATGGATGGAGAAAGGCAAGGCAAGCGCGAAGCCTTGCGACGTCTACTACAGTTGCCACGTAAAGGAGCGCAAATTCGGAGTTGGATTCGTGGTAGGAGAGAGACTCCGTCGCCGAGTAGTGGCGTTCACCCCGGTGAACGACCGTCTAGCCACAATCCGCAGCAAAGCGAGATTCTTCACTCATCTGCGCCCATGCCCCTACGGAAGAGAAGGACGAGGCGTCCAAGGATCTCCATGAACACTTGGAGCGCTGCCCCGACACGATGTCAAAATCGTGCTTGGGTACTTCAATGCCAAGGTGTGCAAGGAAAGGATCTTTGGCGCCACTGTCGGAACATTCAGCCTCCACGACGAAACGTCCGATAACGGACTGAGGCTGATCGATTGGGCGCACCCTAATGTACAGTAAATATTAACTTTTGGTTAAAATTTGGTTTATTTAAAAATATATAAATAAATTTATTCATACTCTATAGGTACACCAACATGTATGTATGTATATCAACCTCTTTTCACTGGGCATTCACCATCATTTTGCAGACACCATTCTGGTTGAAGAGCTTCCGCGTATATACCATTGGCTACTAATCGTTCGCGATGATATAATATTCGAGATTCTGCTTCACGCCAATTTCCAACGGGATTCGACCACAAACGTTCTGCTAATGCGCTTGAACGTGGCCATAATCGGTAGTCCAGTGTGTATTCATCGATTTGCTCGGACCAAATTGCCGCTTCGGCTCCTAATACCAGCGATTTATATTCCCCAGCTATGTTATCCAAATTATTATCGTACACTTTCTGCCAGCCAATATACGGTGAGCACCAGTTATTGCCAATGTCTACCCAGCTGGGTCCACCACAATCAAAATATAAAGCATCATAATTTGAAATAATAACGCGAAAGCCACGTTTTAAGATCGCTTTAATTTCGGAGCTTGAACCACGTGTCCAAATTTGTATGATATATCTGGAATTGTTAAGATATTGATCAATATATGGCTCTTGTGTAAGACTACTTGTCCACAGCGTGATTAATTGATTGCTGTTGTTGGACACTTTATCTACTCTTTCGAGTGCTTTTGTTTGAAAATAACCCCAGAGTCGGTGAAAATCTTCCTCTTGCAAATCCCAGCCTTTTAATTGCATCCATTCGCGAATACTCTCAGTGCCATGCCAACATTTAGATAGCACCTCATCACCTCCCATATGAAAGACATCTGGTGAAAATAGTTGAAATATTTCACGATAGATATCTTCTAATATCGGATAAATGTCATCTACAGTGGGGTCTAGTTGCCCACATGGTGGTTCTCCACAATATCTCTTCCAGGGCTGAAAGCTCTCACAAGCGATCATACCCTTATGTTGCCAACCTTCTTTCACGTGGGCGGGAGCATCAAATTCAGGCACTACTCGGATGCCACGAATCAGTCCATACTGCACAATTTCAGAAATTTTATCATGTGTATAAACCTTACTAGGCGAATATGCGCCAAATCTGTGAAGTTCTGGATGGGATTTGATCTCTAGTGGGAAACTTTGAGAATCTGTAATGTGCCAATGAAAGGTGTTGAGTTTAACCATCGCAAGGGCATCTGAAAAAATCATAAAAAAATTGTAATCGATGTCCAGGATGATGTCGATAATTTTTTGGTAATATGTGTTTAGTTTCCCTGCAATATTAAGGTATCTTAAATATAGCAGAGAGAGTTTTTAGTATAAAAATAATTTGATCGCAAAATTTGGGTTTGTATTTTTCGATCAAATTTGACCGTTATTTTATGATTATAAATATATATATATACAAAATAACGATTATTTTTTATCGAAAAAATTAAGA